AAGCAAATCTCAGGATTTTGGTAGTCTTGAATAAAGAATTTTCATGAATATTCATTTAGTAGATAAATAAATAATAGAAAAATATCGTAGTACCCTAAAAGTCTGGTAAGTGAAGCTATACAGGCATTAGACCTACCAGGAGATTATATCAGTAAATAAGTTGAGCGAGGATTCAAGCATGAGATTGAAGAACTTAGCAGATATTTTACCTTCAAAAGTGAATAGTGTGAACAGACAGAAGGCTTAGTCATGGAATCGTGCTTGATTTCAGCTTTAGCGAATAACTAAATGGCTCACTGAGAGGTTCTGCCGTTTCCAGAAGCACTCTTGGTTCCCAAACTATTCTTTAACTAAATTGATGACTACTTTGCTATTAGGCTGCTTTACGAGAAGCAAGCGAAATTGAACAAAACATCCGGGACTCGAGCTATTTCCAAGATAGATTGGATGGGAGGAAAAAGTTGAGAGACCTGCCCAGATCCCAAAGGCCATTGGCAGCTCGAATAGGGTAATATGATGTCGGCCCAAGAGTCTGTTAGGAAAATGTTTTTTATTTGGGTTGCTAAAGGTTGCTACAATCGACCATCAATGAGAGCTGAAGAAGCAGAATAAAGGTAAGGCTAGCACCAACTTGTGGGTGATTAAATGTATACAGGCGAAGTTCCCAAACAGAGATGAAGCGCATCCAAAAGGAGCAGGCTGTGATGCTTAGTTGAATTGGCTTTGGATTACTTTTCTCTGAATAGAGATGAGCCAATGCTAGAAGCCACAAACAAGTGGAATCTGATAATGTCCCCAGGTGCTTGACAGTCTACAAGTTCAGATTAAGCATTAGATGAAGGGTCTTCAAAAATTGGGCAAATATGTCAATTTTATTCTGCTCTTTTTGTTAATAGAATTTCGATTCTACCAAACGACCATATTTCTCAAGCATAAGAGTCTGCACTTAGTAACATGAGTTTACCATTTTTAGGCACTGTCTCAGAAAAAATACAGACAAACGATAGATCGTAGTTAGGACCAAGGCTTGAAGTAGTGAAGTGGCAAAATACGGGTCACAAATTGCAATAGTGTGCTTAGCCCAAAGGTTAAAATCATCGTCAATAAATGGGGATACTCTACATGTGGAACTGGTCGTCTTTTCCTATTCAAGTCTTTGATGCGTGTTTCTTTAATTTGTATACCACATGGTAATTCCGTTTACATATTGCCTTACTTTGATCCCCTGAGTATCATCGTCGTCGAAAGAACCAATGTCGAAGGCATCGGCGGCGTTAACCTCTCCATAAGGAGGCACCAAAGGTGGAGAGTAGCGTCGATGATATACAGCATCCCAGTCGACGCCCTCAAAGAAAGGATGCTCTTTGAGTTCTAGAGCTCTGAAACAGAGGGAATACAAAGAGTGTAATACTTTAAGCTGCAGAAAATGGACTTCAAACGAGACAAGATAGACAAAAAAGAAGATATTGGCCAATTATTAGTCAAAATTCTTATTCCCTTTGTATGTTCTCTCAAGATGTAAAAGCATTGTGGACACGATGGGAATATGTGGAAATTTCAAAATTGATTTGGTACAAGGACTTTAAAAACTTGGCATTTTTTACAATACTTATTATGTTCACTTAGAAAGTCAATCAGTTGAAAGAAGTTAGGAAATTAAGTGTATCACTATTAAAAACGCAATAATAAAAACAAAACCATAGAAAAATACAAATTAATATGAAAAAATAAGACAAAACAAAGAGAGTTCTAATGAATTACTACAAAATTGCTAACCTTGGCCCATTCCAGTCGACTGTTGACATTCACGTAAAATAATATGTGGTTATCTATAGCTCCACTATCGGAGACTGATCAGGTCAGGCTAAAAGCTATTCTGCAGTCATGAGAATTATGGATTTTGTTGACTATTTCCATTAGCATTCGAGAACTTGAAAGATGATAAAGGTGTATAAATAGCAATTTGCATCTTAAACAAAGATAACAATGAGCTTACTGAGGGTGATGCCCTATTTTATAGTATAAAATTCTACGAATTTATGAAGATCAGTTGAATTTAAATGAATTTCAAGATAGGACTGAGTTGGTTTAATTTAATTTCATATAAAAGTGTGTAAGGAAAAGGTTTATAGGCGAATATAATCAGCAAATACTTTTTTAAAAGTTTCAGCTAACAAATTAATACATTTTGACGACAATCCACGGGATGTCTTCCTTCGGTTAAGCCGAAAGTGCTCTGACCTGTCATCAGAGCTTCCCTTGTATATCAGCCCCAAGATAATTCCAAATCAAGAAAATTTATCGACTTATCCCTCTATGGAAGAGATGAAGACCAAGATGGTGTGGCCCTCGGTGTGGTCACAATCTCCTTTTGATGTATAGAAGTGGGTTGACTTAGTCTTCGCAACTTGGTCTTGCTGTCAGAGCGAATTAGTTGGATACACCTTGTCAGAAATTCTTCGAATTTTTTAGTTATCATAATTCCCAGTGTCAGACCGTGGACTTGATACATTCGCGATGCCGGTGAATCGTCTGAGTATGTACCAAGCCTACGGTCTGATGCTGGGAATTAAGATAACTACAATGACAGAGTAGTTTGGCCAAGGTGCGCCCAACTAAGTCGCCCTGACAACACGACCAAGTTGCGAAAAGGATATCAACCCACTTCTATCCCCCTTTGGTTTGGCTACTCTAACAGAAAAAATATAAACATGGAGTTGGTCTAGATTCGTAATGAGGAGATCATGAATAAAAATTACATGTAGCCCAGGGTTTTTGAAGTGATGTAAACTGACAGGAGTTTTTTCCACAGTAATATGGGAAGACATCACGACGTAGCTAAATTTTCCACAGCCCGACCCTCAAAATGCTTTCTCATCCAGAATCGACTGAAGTTTCGACCTCATATAATTCCTATCCGGACCCCCAAAGGGAATCGAACCTGGCAAGTACAGCATTTATTATTTAAATATTACCACTACGCCATAGTGCCAGAATAAGAATATAATTTAGAAGGCAGAGCCAAGCTAAATTCAATTGCATCCAAATATCATTATGGGAAAATTAATCATCGATACTTCAGCACCTAAAACGATCTGTGATGAATAGTTCGTAATTTTAGTTAGTCTATTTTCATGTCAAACTACTTGTATGTACCTATATTTATGCGTGTAGGAATAAGAAATAAAGCTATGCTAATTTTAAAAATTAATGACAATAATCAATGCTTAATGACTTAAAACTGATATATCAGGAAACTCCTCAGACCCAATTTTGCTTAATTTATGTGCGAATCAACATGTGGATAAATTTTCGCAAATCTTTTAGTTAAGACTTCATGGTCTCCATCATATTCATTATCATCCAAATGAAAATTGGTCACCTTAGCCTAAAGGCCATCCAAAGCATTAGATAAAACGTGATTTTATCTTAGAATACAAACAAATAGCTGATTTTCGTCAGTCCTTCATTTAGCTACAACGTTTAAGGAAATTACTAATACCCGTATTGGCCGAAGTAGCTAAAAGTAGCTATAAGAATCTTCATATGCAGTCAAATTATTTTCAACAAAGTTTAAAAACTATTGTAATAAGAAATAACTGTGCCAAAAAACTCTCTTTAAAGACGCTACGAAGACAAGTGAAATAAAGAGACTTGGCAGGCAATAGAGAAATATAAGAAGCACCTTCCTTTGGATGCATGATTAAGGAAAAGCCAGAGTTAAAATGGTGAAGCAGCCATATCAAATACATAACAGGATCCGAGAGCTTAGCCTGAATAGTGGTCAAAATGATAAGTTATATTACTAGAACCATTACTTTCTTTCAATGAGGCTCACAGACAAAGCGCTGAGTATCATAGCCCAACTAATAAATCACACCGCAAACAATTACAAGCCAAGGAGATGTCTTCGAATTGGGTTAATCGAGTTAACATGTTAAAATGAAATCGACAAAATGCCATTACAGGAAATGACATCCTCAGTGGACCGACAATTTTCACTTTACTAGTGACCGGGTTTGCTGATTACGCCTCTAATCATAGCATGACAGACATTGCAGATGTTGGACTTCCGTTTATTAGCAATTTCATGCTAAAACGAGCGTCAGACAAGCCAGTTAGCTTAATATTGCCTGAAAAAGACACAAGCTTTGAAAGAACTTATAATGGATAATAAATATTTTGGCAGTTTGCATACATGCCTTCTGGTATGAACGTTCGGCGCCATTCGCCTCTTATTTCTCAGAACGGCATAACTTTTCGGCTGCTCTAGAGACGGCCGCAAAAGAGCGCAAAATAAGGCGCAATGACAATATCATCTCACAATATCACTTACTCACGAAAAAAGTATCACCTTGGTCCAAAAGAGCTGTTTCTTGATTGATGAGACCTTCCAAAGCCTGACAATTAAGTGATGAGAACTGTAGACAGGCAGCGTCCGAAGTAGGATCCGACCATTGAAAGGATTCATGTCACTGGCCAAAGAATTGCTTTGGAGCATGAGGTAATTGAGGTTTGTGAGTAGTTTCAATCACGGAAGACTTGGCAGAAGTAAACATTCATGTTGGAGTTAAAGTGTTTTCACGCGAAATGGAAGTAAGCTCAACATATCAAGGCTATGTG